TATATGTGGAGGCACTACAACTGTTACAATGATGAATATTATTAATGAACAGAGAAAGCTTGACTAGCCTTTGCCAACAAGTGTCACTCCGGGTGTAGGATAGGTACCCGTCTACTGATCAACAGAGGAGTCTAGCGCGCAATTACTCATTCATGAGCGCTTTTTTCCTCTAGAATTTATTTCGTTCAAATCTACTTCTTGAATTAAATCTTCGATCCCCCCCAAAGTTTTCCATAGCCACTAATACATGAATCAAAGTCGTTTACAGTGGTGTGTAGTAGCATCTACTTTATTTACTATTGGGTTTGCGTTGACATTCGACATCTCTGTGGTAAGGCAACTTGAAATGATGCACGTATGCATGAAGTTCTACGTTGTGAATGACTGTTGACTGAATAATCAGTAACCAATGTTGACACATACTTTTATTAGTTATTATATACTCATATGCATTTGTAAATGTACATTAACGAAATTCGAGCCAATGTGATCACTCGCATTGTAATAAGTTACTTTAAGTGATCAAGTAGTTGTTGATAATTATTACTGATTAATCTGAAAGATGATCACAACATAAAGCATGGTACCAGCTGAGGTAGGTAGTGGAATGGATATAGGTAACATAACTTGCAACCATCTCAGTCGATAGAGATTCACTGATTAATCAGTCGGTTTCCTATCCGTTCCCGAACAATCAACTTCCAGTATAGGCATTAATTCTTCCTCGGTGGGGGCGAAATGCACCGGCATGCTTGGAAGATACATATAATCAAATGCTTATAGTTTACAAATATCCTCTAACCTTAATTGCTCAACTTTCACTCCATTATACTGGAAAGAAGCAAACTGTCACACATAAAACTCGTTCAAGATAAGTGAATTAGTCAAAAACAGTTCACTACTTCGATGCATGCCAATAATCCGGCTGCTGAATCAATATATTGCCTTTGGAGGGTGAGAATCGCATCCCAAACATGATTGCATTGTTGCTTATGGTAATCAGAAGACTGCATTTCTGTCAGCGTCTTCACCAAAAAGAATTATTTTATCTGTATATTCTGAGTCAACAAGTGAATCTACTGTCAAAAGGGTAACCCCTACAAAGTCAGACAATGAGAGTGTTATTATCTAAAAGGATGTCAATGACGTTGGGCAGAATCATCGACGAGAAAGGTGGATCCTATGCAGATGTGAAGGCGCGGATCGGCAAAGCAAGGGCTGCATTTCTGCAGTTGAAAAATATCTGCAACTCCCAACAACTTTCAACCAACACCAAAATCAGCATTTTCAATACTGTCAAATGTCAAAACATTTCTACTGTATGGAGCAGAAACTTGGAGAACTACCAAACCTATCATCTATAAGCTACAAGTGTTTATTAACAGTTGTCTAGGCACAGTAATTCGGATCTCTTGGTCAGACATTATCAGCAACTACCTACTGTGGGACACAACAAATCAGATTATAGTGGAAGAAGAAATCAGGAAGAAGAGCTGGAGGTGTATAAGACACACACTTCGAAAAGCCTTGAAGTGTGTCCCAAGGCAAGTTCTCACATGGAATCCCCAAGGCCGAAGGAAAAGAGGAAGACCAAGGAACATATTACGCTGAAAAATAGAGAAAGATATCAGAAGAATGAACAAACATTGGACAGAATTGGAGAGGGAATCCCAGGACAGACAGAGTTGGTTGGTGAAAACTGGTGGGCGGCCTATGCTCCATTAGGTGTAACAGGCGTAAGTAAGTAAGTATGCCAATGACGAACTTAAGTAAAAATAAGCAAAGCTTACAACCCGATTCATTGACCAAGTTCTGATGATACTTCGCTTTAAACTCTGACTCGATCGGTGGTGTTTGAAGTTAGTGTGTACTTTTTTGGTTCATTTTTTGATGACACTCTCAGAAGCTAAACTACTGAATAACAATGCACTCACTGTTTTATCCCTATATTTTTATGAAGTTACCATAATGATTGATGACCATCAAAATGCTGTTTTCTTACATAACCATACTGTTTCTAATTCAACAAATAAATATTTGAAATTCTACAGTAAAACATTCTGAAAACTGTAAGAGTAAAAAATTTTCATAAGCTCAAAAAAAAAAATTACCTAATAATCATTATAACCCTACTTACTACTTACAGTAATATCTGAAATCACTGACTGGAGCAACAGATATACCACATCGAATCCATTGATTTTCAGGTCTGGTTAGTAAATGACTAACTGTGAATCCACCGTAAGACTATAATTTTTATTCAAAGAAAAATGATTAATATGAATTTTACTGACAAACAAGCATATTTATTTATTGCGAACAAGAATATACAAATAATGCATTTTTATGTCTAGATCAAGTTGTATTGTGGTGCGAGCTACTTATAAGTAGTATATGACGTGAGGGTCAACGTAATGTCTGGCAGTAGAAGATGGGGGAGGAAGATCAACAGAAAGGAAGAGTTAGAAGAACACAATGGAATATGTATGAAACGCATGAATAGTAGTGACAATGGATTGATGTTGGTTTGCAACCAGGAACAGTCCAGTTTGATTATGATGGACTGATATTTTGCAAATGATCGATTTACGATATGGTTTTCCAATTTTACTGAGTAACTCTGTAATTTTCGTTAAATACAATTCGGTTGCCCCAACTGTGCTCTCGTTCACTACAGTATTCATTCAAAATTAAGCATTTTTTGGAGGTGATATACTTTTCAAGTCACTTGGTACACATCCAGTATAGCTTGGCCATCTTCTAAATGCTACCATCTAATCTGATTTCACAACCTAATATAACTTGACCTTTTTTTGTAGTAATTGTGTCTAACACAAGTTCATTGGATAAATTTTTACTGAGTGGTTAATCTATTTTCGAAAACTCTAAGCTATGTTTTAATAACAATATTTCATGAATGTTACGAAAAATGATTCACTATTTTTAAACGTGTTAATGAATCCAAGATAACATATAATCAGTCAGTCAGTTACAACGTGGAACTTCGTACATGAGTACATAAGTTCAAGTTGTCATACCCCATCAGCACAGAGACGCAAATGTCAGTTCAAATCCCATTGTGATAGTCATAGTAGAAGTATTACCGGTAATGGAGAAGATTAGGGTTCGAAGATATGATTCGCGAAGTATAATTCAGTGAGATAAGTTTAGAAAGAGAAAGATAGAGATGATGGGGATTTGAGAGAACACAAAGACTGGATGCACCTGCGCCATTGCAAACGATTCTGAGCCATGTCGTTCGAGATCTCGAACCATTGGTGACTTTCGTCTCACGGACCGCAAACAGGTAGTCTACATCTACCAACATGACTCAGTCCACTTGTCAGTGACTTCATGGATTTCTGCCATGTTTTGGTTTGGCCACTCTTAGCATTCTTCCAACCTATTCCTACACTACAAAACATTGCTCGTCGAGGCAGTCGGCGGGTGGGCATTCGTAATGCATGTCCCAACCACCTCAACTGAACAAGTTTTAATTCTTCATCAAGTGATCTACCATCTCTACCTGGTACTCGTTTCCTAACCATAGCATTGCTTATTCGATGGTCTACGAACAGTTCTTCGAAGATATCTATAATCGAATACTAATAACCTACGAATGTCCTCTACTCTTACCGGCCATGTTTTGCATCCATACAGTAGGACCAGGCGAACTGCTGTACAGTAGACCCATCCTTTGGTTAGCGAAAGTATATCTTGCCTGCACGCCTGCTGGCAAACGTCAATCGAGCCTTCTATAACCGTGTTGAGCTTTCATCAGTCCTCAGGCCATCAGCATTGATGAGACTCCCAAAATAAGTGAGTCGTTTTTTGGTTCCATCACTAACAAGAATCTATGTACAATGATTTCAAATGATGTGTATTTTTCTTGTCGAAAATCAATTTATGACCAGTAAACGGTAAATTGCTATGATTGTTTATTGTCTCCAATACAATTGACGTCCTGACCGTAGCTGCTACCTTAACGTGCCGGTCAGCCTTGCCTGTCGTGATGACGCAGCCGAGCTATACTGGCTGGAACATATGTTCCTGAAGGTTATACCATTCCACGCAGGTCGATTGGAGAACGATGAGACTAAAAGCATCTACTCAAGGTCTGAGGGCAAAGTCGTACTGTTGACTGATTGTGGAGGGGTGTGAGAGCAGTGAAGTGTTTCCCTCGGACAACCAGCATCTGCAGCGATGCTGCCTTCTCACAAGGAAGGAAGGGTTAGAAAAGGTCGACCCCAAAAATGTCACACCTCACCCTACCTCGCAGATTTCCGTCTCCTTGGTTAAGGGTGCCCACTAAGGGCTTTCAAGAGCAGAGCTGATACTCAAAAAACCCTTGATAATAAGGCCGTGCGTGACCGGCCTCAAGCAGTTGTCCTTTGGGCTATGCGGTCACGCACCCAGGTCTCCAAGACCAACACTAATCTGTCTTTCCTTTTCAGGTTCCTCAAGAAATAACGTTCCACGGTGTGGGCAGCCGGGAAGTGACAACCGCACTCATACCCATACCAGCACATGAGACCCAAATTGGTCAAATCAAATCCTTCCTACACCCTCCAGTACCTGTCTTATCTAAAATCGACGTACATGAGAGAAGCGATTAACATACTAAGATATTTTCTTATCATATTAACTAGAAATTCAATCCGTCTATAAAAATAATACGTATATCTGTTGCATGGACTGATGAACTGAGATTCAGTCACAATATGTATTTGTATATGGTATCTCTATTGATTACAAATATAATCACCAAATTCAAACGCTTTAAATCATGTAAACAAGATGTTCCTTTAGCCTGTAACCGATAAATGATGAGTTGCTTCTTCACATTAGCGAAAGTAACCTTTGCTCCGATAGATTGAACGGTTCATTTGGTCACATTTATACCGTACACATGACTCCATAATATAATGCCTCACAGACAGTAATAATTCCTTTGCTTTTCAACGATTGATTGAAATATGTACGATCATCAAATCACTTACCCATCCATAAGCACCAACTTGACTTTCATTTATAAAATGATAACGTCGAATTAGAGCTCTGAATGATAAAAGTATAATTAATATAAGAGGATAATATGAGCATATATATGTCGAGTAGGCATTTATTTAGAAGAAAAACACATACTATTTCTAGTCAAATTTAAGTCCAAGTGTTACGCACGCACGTCAACATGTTAACTGTTATGCTTGAACTACTTATTACGAGTTCACCTTAGTCGGTAAATGACAGCGAGGATCGATGATACAGTGACTCGATAGGCTACTACTCTAATCCGAGCTTCCCTAATTCCCATTGAATAGAAGAAGAAGACTTGATATGAAGTAGAACCTGTATTCTACAAGCATCCAGAAAGTTTATGACAAATTGTTTCTGTACGCATGAGGGAGTTTAAATTTACGAATAGACAAGGCTTCCATAAACGGCAGAATCTGTTTTTGAAAATGTTGAGGATTTTAAATCCCCAGAACTCGCTTGATAAATGCCCCGATTTTGGATTTTTCACGTTTGCCAGCATGGGCTGATCAGTTGAGCTTGAGATTTCATTTACCACCGGGAAAATCCTTGGTTGTGATCGACTGCTGTGTATTTTGGTGTGCTATTTTGTGACTATCCCAAGGATGTTTCTATGATGTATAAATGAACGAGAGTTGTGTGCTTGATTGTACTGTGATTGCTGGGTGTTTGTAGAATATACTCTATACGCTTAGAAAGCCTTTTTACTTCAGCCTTGGATTCAAGGTAGCCTACCTGCACGCTGATAAATGTCTAGTACGCGTTTAGCAACTAAGGTAAACTCGTAATAGCCTAAAGCATACTAAGTGACGAAACCCTACATAGGGGGTAACAGTTTGTGAATTTTCCATCAGTCTTCAGTATCCAATAGCTTGAGGCTGTCAAGATGATCTATCAGTTCATAAGTAACGGTGATTGGCCCGTGTTTCACGTTTATCCTGTTAAATTTGCAGTGACTCCACTTTTATGAAGAGAACGCGATTGGTTTAATAGGATTACTCATTATTATAATCAGTTGTACTAGTGATTGTTCTACTGTACTCTTTGTTTATTCGTACTCTGTACGCGCAAACTTTGTGTTGAGCCATTTTGGTTATACTGCTCACTGTAACTTCGCCCTTTCTTTCTGGCACGATTTCGAAATTCCTTCGTTACCACGAAATCGTCAGTAAATATTAGTTCCTTGCACGGATTAACTCTTCTTCTTTGTCCTTGATTCACGGAGATATTATATTTAGCGACAGGAACGTAACTGTCTATACTGGCGTCCATAGTCAACCTGAACTCGAGCTACTATAAATTATCGAAAGACTACACATAGTGGTAGACAAAAACACTTCATTTTTGAAACCGTGAATCGATCAATGCTAGACCACCATTAGAAACCTGGAAGCACTGTAAACCCCTCTCATCCTAGTATGGGACTCATCAGCAGTGAGCATCCACGACTCCTGCACCCCGCAGGATTCGAACCCAGGACCTTCGGTATTGTGCGCGAACGCCCTAACCGTTAGAGGAGTCCCATACCAGGACGAAACGGCCGTCCAGTGCTTCCAGGTTTCTAATGGTGGTATAACATTGATCGATTCATGGTTTCAAAAATGTGTAACTTAACAATCTTCACAACCCCGTAATGCAAAAATACTTTAGTTTGATGTATTGTACTTAAGTTAAATATTTATTATGAATAATAGTCATAAAGTTTATCACCTTATTATATCAATCACTCTTACCTGACACTGTCCAATTGATCTTCAATTTCGATTACACCCAACTTTTTATAAATTGATTGTTCAAATACTCTTCCTCGACCAGCTGTACCACGACCATCAACTTGAGCGACAATAACTTTTGCCGTTGCTGATATATATGTTAACCAGTCTATTGTTAAAACTGACGTTACAACTTGTAATGTTGGTCCACCATAACTGTTTAGTTTTTAATTTACAAGAAGGTTAAAAGATAATACGACTGATTAGGATTATTTTTAATAAAAGAGGAATCATAGGGAAATACTGATGTCCAAGAAGTAAACTTACCTGTTCAGCGACTAACTGAATCAATTAAAGTTCGTCACATAATTCGTCAGTTATATTTAGATAAAACTATTTCATGTACATTATTATTTGTGAAGACTATTTGCTAACTAGGAGCAAACAGTGCCAGCTATCAGGTACCCATGTTTTGAAATCTGTAAATTGGTTGAATTCTGAAAGGAATTTACCCTTTCCTATGATTTTTGCTGGAAAGGATGGATGATACTTCAGTCAAATTAAGTTTGCTAATTTTTGTCAAACATTATGAAATTCTTTAAAATTTCTCCTCCACTCGGCAAGAGCATCAAGGTCAGCTTTAAGCATCGTTCTATCCAAACCTAATTTTGAGTAATACAAACTGTTTTTTTCTTTCGCTAACTCGCCCTGTGTTGAACCAAAATATGAAAGCTGACATAATTTTGATTGATTCTGATTAACTGACAGATCGGTATCCAGTCAAATCCTTATTATTTTAACTTATCAGACCAATCAGAGCTAGAGATTGGACTGGTTGACTACTTTGTTGTGGTAATCACTCGCCTTGGATTCGACTGAATAGAATATAACATAGTAGATAATCACAGTGATATTATAGATATATTTTTATTAATTACAGTTATGGAGATCATTGTTTTTACACATAGATAACATGAATCAATCATTGTTAGACTATCATTAGAAACCTGAAAGCACTGGACGGCCGTTTCTTACTTGTGCCGGACTCAACAGCAGTGAGCAACCACGACTCCTGCTACTCTGAGGGCGTGAACCCGGAACCTTCGGTCTCACGCGCGAACGCCTAATCTCTGCACCACTATGCCAGCACCCGTCCAGAGCTCGAATCATACGAGTACAGGAGTCGGGGTGCACACTGCTGATGAGTCCCATGTCAGGACGAAACGGCCATGTTCCAGTGCTTTCAGGTTTCTAATGGCGGTCTAACGTTGATCGATTTCATGATTTCTTTGTATTATAAATGTTTACAAATTCAGTAAAGCAAATTCAAGATGACCACTTTACTAATAATTCTTCACCTAATAATAAATAATAATAATAATCGTATTAAACAGAAACATTTGACTAGTTTGATGGTTACGTACAAGACAGAGTGATAAAGAAAACATGTAACTGAACAAAGTTGATGCTCTTGCGCAATGTATTTCGAGCGGTATGATCACACCTCAAATTTTCAAGATATTTGGAAAAGGCATCGTAGAAATATACATTCTAAGAAGCTGAAATTGACTATATAGTCACCTTGTAGTGAAGGAGAACTCGGGTGAGGGCAACCGAATTGTATGCACGAAAATTACAGAGTTACTCCGTAAAATCGCAAACACCATATCGTAAAGCGTTAATTTCCAAATCTTCAATCAATCATCAATCCAGTGTCTGACATTTCACTATCCATGCGTTTCATACAAATTCCATTGTGTTCCCACTCTTCCTTTCTTGATCTACCCCCATCTTCTGCTGCCAGACATGACGTTTACACTCGCGTCATATACTACTTATAAGTAGCGCACACCACATAGTCACTGATTCAAATGAACGATTGTACATCATCAAAAGAAATGGTGTTAAAAAATTCATTGAAACTTACGTATATAACAAAAGTGGATATTGAGTAATATGTGCTGGGTCAAGTTCCGGTGGTAAATACAACTTCGCTTGAACATCAATTTGATTCCTAGTACCATTGCGTAATGTCAGCTTTGTGTATTCCACACGTGGTAAAGCATGCGAATTGACGAAGGATTCGAAAGCGCTATTGTTCACGAAATATTTGATGATTTCTGTAGTTACTGTGACATCTTTTAACAAGAATTGAGGAAAAAAATTAATGTAGAAAGATGTTTGTTTAAAGAAAGGGTCGTTGAAAAACTAAGCGGTTCATACCAAGTGTATTGATATGATATTCCAAAACCGGAGGCCCTGGGTCCGAGTTTCGCGGGCAAAGCCGTGTATACGCGTTGCTGAAGAGTCCCATGCTAGAACAAAACGGCTTTTCCATTGCATTCAAGTTTCTAAAGTCGGTCTACAATGATTGATTCACAATTTCAATAAAAAAAATACAGAAAAATTGATGTATAAAACCGTTAACTAACTGTTGTTTTAATTAGGCCCCTTGAATTACATTCCTTCAATGCTGTTTATAACATTTGGACTAAATATGACGATTATTTTTTCTAGTTATGGACTTTCGCAACATGAGATCGATAAATGTTTACTAAGAGTTCATTGAGAACCCTTTTATCAAGGAACAAATACTGGAAATCTTGAAGAAACGTTACTTGAACAAGAGGAGATTTTCGTTGGACTAATAGAAACATTGCTTCATTAGTTCACAGAATAGTTATTTTATGATCCAATACAATAGTAGTGCATTCATACACCTGGAAAAGTGTTGAAGTAGTGATAGGGAGTGAAGTAGTTGAACGTGTAGACAGCTTCACTTATCTAGGGAGTCTCATCATTACGTATGGCCTGGTGACTGACGAAATCTCAGCTCGGATACAGAGGGATCGATTGGCTTTTGCCAAGTTGCGTCACTTATGGCGTAGGCGAGATATCCGTTTGCTGACTAAAGGACGAGTGTACTGCGCAGTAGTTCGCTCCGTCTTACTTTATGGCTGTGAAGCATGGCCGTTAAGAGTAGAAGATATTCGTAGGTTATTGGTTTTCGATCATAGGTGTCTTCGAAGCATTGCTCGTATATCGTGGGACACCCGAGTGAGCAATGCTGTTATTAGGAATCGGGTGCTAGGTAAGAATGGCAGATCAATAGGCGCAGTAGTGACACTTCATCAGTTGAGGTGGTTGGGACATGTGCTGCGTATGCCTAACCACCGACTGCCTCGACGACCTTTGTTTTGTAGTTTAGAAGTAGGTTGGGAGAAAGTTAGGGGCGCTCATACCAAAACATGGAAGAAATCCATGAAGTCATTTACGAGTGGACTTATCCATGTCGGTAGTTGTCGACTACCTGATTGGGGTCCACGAGATGATAATAATCGATGGTTCGAGACCCTGAATGACAATCGTTCGTAATGGCGCCGGTGCATTTATTCTTTGTGTTCTCTCAAACCCTAATCTTCTGGATTCTTCAACCCCTACAGTTTTGACTTTCTAAACTTTTCTCACTGAATCATACATAATTCTTGAATAATATCTTCTAATCCTAACCTCTCCGATTACTTCTAATACCTTTACTACCTCTTCTACTATTGGATTTGAATTGATAATTGTACCTCTGTGCTGATGTGGTATGGCAACATGAACTGATGTACCTACGTACGAAGTTCTACGTTGCATCTGACTGACTGTACACATTGGTACAAGTAAGATGCGAAACTAACTCTTTATAAGTAACATCCGTAATTACTAGTGATTAAAAGCTTGACACTTTATAATTCTGTCTATTCACTTGATAAAACAAGACTGTTTAAAATATGAAAACAGTCATCAATGATCAAATTATCAGACAGCATAACTTACTATTCGTTTCAGTGAAATTCTTGATAATTCTTTTCAATAAAGTTTTCGGAGTACCTGAACCTCGAACATCTTGAACTAAATATTTACCATTTGAAATAACTTCTGCCCAATTATATGTGTTATTGACATTTTCACAAGTAAGACAAGTCATATTGCCGATGGATTGTGAACTCCTTGAAAAATAAAAAAATAAAATTGAAGGAAAAAAAAGATATAAATCACCATCATCATGACTCACCGTTGTCGTGATGACAGATTGGTCAATGCTGAAATATTATTCTATCGAATATAGAATATAACGAGAATACTGTTATACAGCACCAGCAGTCCATGAAATCACAGACAATTGAACTGAGTCGTGTTAACAGGTAGACATTAAGGTTAGAGGATGGTCGTAAACTATAAGTATTTGATTATATGTATCTTCCAAGCATGCCGGTGCATTTCGCCACCACCGAGGAAGAATTAATGCCTATACTGGAAGTTGATTGTTCGGGAACGGATGGGAAATCGACTGATTAATCAGTGAATCTCTATCGACTGAGATGGTTGCAAGTTATGTTACCTATATCCATTCCACTACCTACCTCAGCTGGTGACATTGACTGGCGCAAAATTCAGCTAGGAAAAAAGCTTCGAACAGCCGAACCAAATAAGCACCAGTACATAAAATCACAAACAATTAAACTGAGTCATATTAACAGGTATAGATTATCCGTCTGTGGTTCGCATGATTATCGTAATCATTGGTTAGACATTTTGAATGACATGATTAAAAATCGTTTGGAAATTGAACAGATTCATTCACTCTTTCTTATCATAAACATTGCAAAGTTCAGATACCCTCATCATTTTTTAAATTTACGATTTCCTATCTCATTAAATCATATCTTCATTGCCTAATCTTTAAAACTACCACTTATACAGTCAGCAACTTTGTAACTCTGTACAAGCATATGAGTATATAATGACTAATAAAAGTATGTGTCAACAATGGTTACTGATTATTCAGTCAACAGACATTCACAACGTAGAACTTCATGCATAAGTACATCATTTCAAGTTGCCTTACCACATTATCACAACAGAAATCGAAATGTCAACTCAAACTCCATAGTAATAGGGATAGTAGTGTGGTGCGAGCTACTTATAAGTAGTATATGACGTGAGTGTAAACGTAATGTCTGGCAGCAGAAGATGGGGGAAGATCAAGAAAGGAAGAGTGGGAACACAATGGAATTTGTATGAAACACATGAATAGTGACAATGGATTGATGTTTTGCAACAGGAACGGTCCAGTTTGATATGATGGACTGATATTTTGCAAATTAACGATTTACGATATGGTTTTCCAATTTTAGTGAGTAACTGTAATTTTCGTTGAATACAATTCGGTTGCCCTCACCTGCGTTCTCGCTCACTACAGTAGTAGTATTATTGGCAATGGAAAATATTAGGCATTGAAGATATAATTCGAGAAGGATATCCGAATGAAATAAATCTGAGAGAAATGAGCGCCCGTGAGGAATTCAGAAGATTGGGACAAACAATAGATACTTCTGAGCCGCTGCGAACGATTTTGAGTCATTCAAAGTCTGTAACCACCTGTTACCATCGCCTCACGGTCCCCAACCAGCTAGCCTACATCTACCGACATGACTCAATCCAGTTGTCAGTGACTTTACGAATTTGTGCCATATTTTGCTTTGGCCACCATTAGCCCCATCCTAAATCAGACAACATCGCTCATCTAGGCAGTCCATGTTTAAGCATACGTAAGACATGTACCAACCGCCTCTGAAACTCCTTCAACAACTGATTTGTCATTTTATTTTGAACGGTACCCTCTACCTAACCCGAACTATCCTTACTCAGTGGTGCCAGGAGCAAGGCATCTAAGGCACTGATGGTCGAAGCTAGTAATTTACGAATATCCTAAACTCTTACTGATCATCTATCACTCCTGTTTAGTAGAAAGGCGCTAACAGTTGTCTGCTAGACTCGTCTTTTGGTTAGTAGACAGGTACCACCCCACGCCTAAAGTAATGCAAGTTGTCAGAAACTTTCTTTATCCAAAAGTTCCGCATTTATATTACTTAATTTGGTTCTAATATGATTTTTATACTTACCAATAAACATGAGCATTTCTAGATTCAGGTCCTGTTCCAATAAAAATAATTTCATCTTTACCATCGTAATATAAGATTTCTTTCACATCGAAATTCGGTGTAATGATCCATGTTGGTAATTGAAGAGATTTTGATGATGAGGATGATAATGGCTAGAAATTAAAACAACAACTGGTTTTATTTTGTTTTTTACAAAATTTTTTTCATAAAAGCTAACGAAATATATTTTTTTGTTATGTTCGTCACTAAGTACGCTTGAAGCTATTACGAGTTCACCTTAGTCAACAAATGCGAACGAGACAATTACCTGCGTCCAGGTAGGCTACCTTGAATCCCAAGCTGAATAGAGTAAAAAGGCTTTGTAAGCGTAGAAAGTATATTCTACAAACATCAAGTAAGCACAATACAATCAAGCATACAACTCTCGTTTATTTATACATCATAGAAACATCCTTGGGACAGTCACAAGAATAGCACACCAAAATACACAGCAGCCAATCACCTCCAAAGATTTTCATGGTGGGAAATGAAATCTCAAGGTCAACTGATCAGCCCATACTCACAAACGTGAAATCCAAAATCGGGGCATTTATTAAGCGAGTTCTGGGGATCTAACATCCTCAACAGTTTCATGAAGTAAAGTAAGGCTTATTGTAGAACACAGATGAATTCCACTGGTCATAGCTTTCTGCTAGAATCTGAGAAACGTCCTTTCGAACGTAGTCACTACTGAGCATGTAATATAATTTAGATAACAATACCTTTGTATATCAACTCATTGATCTGGGTATGGAAGAAGCTGTTCGCGCGAGACCGAAATTACTAGGTCTGATTCCCAAATTTGGCTTATTTTCAAGATGTCAATCTCAAAGTAATCATTTAACGAATAAAATTGTCGCTTATATTTTGTTCAATTTCGGATATTAAGTAGTGATCACAGTTATATATTCTTAGATTTCCGGGTTTTAAGTTTTGGGAGTTGGACTTGATATGGTTAAAAACAATGTAGCCATTACGAAAAGTTTAGATGAATGCAGATAGTTCTTTTTACAAACTGTCTGGACAAATTCATTATACTTGTTCGGAATGTATTCTTTTTCTATTGTTTCTCCCTGGATAAGCTGATCACTTTCGTTTTTAAGGATCACAGTTCCAGTCTTGTAGCCTTCTCGTGTTTCCTTAGTTACTTACCCTTTTGTTCTTATGAAGCTCTTTACATGGTTCAGCCAAACTATCCATCACAAAGTTTTGAACTGCGCTAAAAGTTCAAGATCCATCATATTCTATCTGATTAGTTCATCGGTATACTTTACTGTGAAGTGTTCTCTTTTCCATCATACCAAGATATTAGACATGATTTCGTTTGCTTAAACAGTTTCTAATTATAGACTATTTGCATAATGTAGTTGTGGAGATTTTCGAGTTACTTCTTGACATCATGAATAGATCACTGTTAGACCACCATTAGAAACCTGCAAGAACTAAACGGCCAACTCGTCCTGATACAAGACTCATCAGCAGTACGCATCCACGACTCCTGCACCATGTAGAACTCGAACCCGGGACCTTTGGTCTTGAAAATTACATGGCTCACTAGTAACTAGCTTCGTGAGGAATCTTTTCCGAGTTCTATTGAGAAGTCGTCACCAGGGAGTTCAACCCAGTTCGGGTGTGAAACAGTGCTCACCGAAGACAGTGAATGAAGTTGCACGAAACCGTGAATTGATTGGAATGATAGACTAGTAATAGAATGATTCATTTTTATTGGATGTTTGAACCTTCACATTGATGCACGGAGGTCAGCTGACAGACTCTTTTGAGGGTGAAGACCGGTGTGAGGCAAGGCTGCTTACTCTAACCCTTTCTCTTTCTCCTGGTCACCAATCGAATGGATTATGAAGACGTCGACATCTGGAGGGACGCACGGTATCAACCGGACAGTTAGGACGCACCAGGACGATCTGGACTTCTTAGATGACCTGGCTCTTCTATCGCACACGCAACAACAAATGCAAGAGAAGACGACTAATGTAGCAGCAGCCTCTGCAGCAGTAGGTCTCAACATACATAAAGGAAAAAACAAGATTCTTCGATGCAACACAACATGCACCAACCAAATCACTCTTGATGTAGATGCCTTGGAGGACGTTAACACCTTTACATATCTGGGCAGCATCATCGACGAGAAAGGTGGATCCGATGCAGATGTGAGGGCGTGGATTGGCAAAGCAAGGGCTGCATTTCTACAGTTGAAAAATTTCTGGAACCCCAAACAACTGCCAACTAAAATCAGAATCAGGATTTTCAATACAAATGTCAAGACAGTTCTACTGTATGGAGTGGAAACTTGGAGAACTACCAAAGCCATCATCCAGAAGATACAAGTATTTATGAACAGTTGTCTACGCAAAATACTTCGGATTCGTTGGCCAGATACTATCAGCAACGACCTACAATGGGAGAGAACAAACCAGATTCCGTGGGAGGGCGAAATCAGGAATAAGCGCTGGAAGTAGATAAGACACATACTGCGAAAAGTGCTTAACTGCGTCACAAGACAACCCCTGACTTGGAACCCTCAAGGTCAAAGAAAAGAGGAAGACCAAAGACCACATTAAACCGTGAAATGGAGACAGACATGAGAAGAATGGAAAAACATTGGACAGAACTGGAAAGGGAGGCCCAGGACAGATTAAGTTGGAGAAAACTGGTGTGCGGCCTATGCTCGATTGTGAGTAACAGGCTTAAGTAAGTAAGTAAGTATTGATGTTTAGGACTGGAATCAATCAATCCCGTTTGGCATATGTGCATCCTGTATAGACACTGGCTTGATATAGCTAATAGGTCGCAAGCAATACTAGCAAAGATACAGTGAATATTCATTCTAAGATACAAATACATCCAGCTGACGAGCCCTCTAATAAAACGAAACGCTTGTCCTGAATTTCACTGCCAACCCCTGCCTTCAATAGATTCAATTAAATGTTGTACAAATGACAGAAACGTAAAAAAAAAACAAACTAGTAATCACATGATAATACTTACAATTTTTAATTTTGCTATACCTCTGTAACCTTTTTCTGAATAATCTCTTGGAAGTATGATTAACATTTCTGCATTTTGCTTATTAATTATAGGCTCCACAGTAATCTGCTTGAACTGAAAGAGATAAGGTGAATAGATGTATAATTATAGAAATACAATTGTAAAATTCTAGATCAATCAATGTTATATTTTTAAATGTAGACAACGTTACAGCGTAAATCATTTGTAGGAAGCTCTAGATGTCAACGAAAACATTTCATTGCACGCCATGTATTAACCATAAAACAATTCTCGATCCTATTGTCACTACTGACCAACAGCCATTAAAAGTGATAGCGCTCACAAATGACCAGCTTCGTAAGGAAATTATTGGATTCCTAGTGAGAAACTGTGTCTATTGGAGTTCAGTCCTGTCAAGTGTATACAATTACTTCAGTAGGCAAAGGGTGAGGTTGCGCGAAATTCTCAGAGTGATCAAAGTTAGACATATTAACACCGTTGAATGCTAGCTCAACGGCCTAGAGATTAAGCGTTTGCTCGCGGATGTGCACTGCCGACCTGTCCCATACTAGGAAAAAACGGCTATGCGGTGCATTCAGGTTTCTTAAGATGATCTAACAATGATTGATTCACGATTTCAGTGTAAAAATGATCGGGCGAAGAACTTCTATATTCAGAATTACCATGATATTTTACCTTTCGAGAATGTTACAGTTACAGTTTCCTTCAACTTTTTTCGTTGTGACAGAACAGTGAGAAGACGTAATTGATCTAAAAAATAGTGTGAATGTATTTACGCTATACACATTTCGAACAATCTGGTCACACATATGCACACTTGTCAAGGCATTTTATACATGAAGATGAATAAAAGGTCAATTTTAATAAAAGTTCAAATAGACATAAGGATATGATTGTAAATAAAGGAGAGAGAAAATTAACATAATATTGGTCATCAGAACACAACTACGACGAAACGACGATAGCAACTGATGTGCCCAAGAAACCAGTGTACCTACAGCAGTTACCTTTCAAGGGTGATCATTGCATGAAGATTACAAACAAACAGACTGCAGCTGCAATAAAAAAGACCTTCAATGCAGCTAATCTGAGGCTTATCACAACAACTCAATCGATCTCAGTTACACCAATCAAGTCTCCAAGACCGATTCAGTCCAAATCTCACTGTATTTACCAATTCACATGTAACTGCGGAGAAAGTTACTTAGGGAGGACAGATCGCCGATTGGAAGACAGGATAGGAGAACATATTCCAAAATGGTTAATCAAATCTCAAAATCGATCAAGAAACCCAGCCTCGTCCATTGCAAATCATCTAATGATGAGTAGTCAACAAATTGACCAAAAATCAGCCTTTAGAGTTGTGACATGACATCAAAACCCACACACACTGAAACTACTTGAAGCTATCTTGATTGGTCGGAAAAGTCCAACTTTATGTGTTCAAAAACAACTGTATGTTGACCTTTGTTTACCATGGTTCTAAGTGAGTGAGTGAATGTCATGCTAAATAAGAAATTTTGACCTTATCTTCAAAACTGTATTTACACAAATAACATGTTGGTTGTATGTGACTGACGAGAAATGGTACACGAAATGGTAACACTATCTCACAAAATATGTCTTCTCATTTCTCTGTTCAAAAATAATATGGAAAGAATAAGAAAGGGTGGGAAATTGTCACATTACTCCGTAGGCTTAAAGATTACCAGGGGTTAAATTCAAGGTTATGACAAATTGTTGCTGCATACATAAGGTGGGTTTTAATTTTCGAATAGCCAGATTGTTTGAAATACGTATAGTGCGCAAATACATCACACTGTTTTTCAGATCAATTACGTCTTCTCACTGTTCGATCAAAATTTTACGAAAAAGACTAATTGTTTCGTTACGTTGTACTTTCAATTAAATTATTGCCCATGGTTATGAATTTATGGATCACAATGTCTTATTAGTTAGTAATAGTCTGTTAAATTGATCGATATTACGAGCAATAAACAGTAGGAAACTTGTAGATAACAGTTTTAATTTGAAAATAATTAGAATGTAAATTGCAAAAACTTTTTTATGAATTATCTTAAACTAACAGTTTAACACATTTTTGAAACCATGAATCGATCAATGTTAGACCACCACCATTAGAAACCTGGAGGCACTGAGAGACGACCGTTTCGTCCTGGCATTGGACTCTTCAGCAGTGCGCATCCACGACTCCTGCACCCCACAGGATTTGAACCCAGGACCTTCGGTATTGTAGGTGAACGCCTAAACATCGGACCACTGAGCCGGTATCTAATGGTGTTAATGTCTAACTTGACCAATTCACGGAATTGCGCAACCTCATACACAGTCTTCGGTAGTTACTGTCTACACCCGAACAGGTTGAACTTCACTGGTCACGTCTTCTCACTAGAACTCGGAGAAGATTCCTCACGAAGCTAGTCACTAGTGAGCACAGGTAATTTGCATTACGGTGTTGTTGTGAAGATTGTTAAGTTACACATTTTTTTTTGAAACCATGAATCGACCAATGTTAGATCACCATTAGAAACCTGGAAGAAGCGCTCAAAGACGGCCGTTCCGTCCTGATATGGGACTCTTCAGCAGAGTGTAACTTAACAGTTGCATATGAGACAGTGTTTCTATGAAAGCGTAAAACTGCCAATTCACAAAATGGGCCGTTCACATAGTAATCTTTCACGAAAAAAGAAAGTCTACTAGTCAGTTAATGACTTATATATATAGGAGGAAACGTATGTCACTCGTTTGATAACTATTAAGTGAGGTTAATCCTGCGACTAAGAGATAATTTTCTCATATACTAATACAGTATCGCAATCACCCATCGACTGTTTGGTTTTCTTATAAAATGCAATGCTAGTATAGAAAAGTCTACACTGACAAATCACATAAGTTTTATTTCCGCTTGAGCAGATTGAAATTATTTATTCTACTGAAAACTACTTTAATTCTGTCATGAGTGTTTCGACAATCGATGGCTAACTCTTTAAAACCGGAAGGAAATGAAAGATTGATTAATGAGTATAAAAATATATGAAGGTGAAAGTATGCTTTTTTGTTTGGTTAGAACTAAGCTTTTGTATTTAAAAAAAAAGTTTTATCTATTGACGCAAATTAGTTATTCAATGCTGTCTAATAGACTGATCGCAACATAAAATTGATAGCGCTTTCAGTCGGTCAGTTATATATATACCGTTAAACAAGAAATATATGTACATCGCTTCAGGTTATCATACATACTATACTAACACAGAAAGTCGTTAATATCAAGACAAATCTATGAGTAGTAGAAGTTGAAAAATAAACAGTACAGTTTGGAAATACGATTCTAGAACAAATAATGAATTCAAGGGATGAAAATTAAGATAATTTTCTAAAATTTCAATATCTAGAGGAAGACAAAAACTGAATGCATCTGAGCTATCATCACCGTCGATTCCGATGTATGTCATCCATCGTCTTCAACAATAAGTTTTATTTATGACACAAAATGCAAACAGGTTGTCTGTGTCTACCCATAAGATTCAGTCGAATAATCAGTGACTTTATGGACTGATATTGTCGAATTTTTCAGTCGTAATTGACAATACTGATGACCTTGAACGTTTGGACATTTTTGATCTGTTTCGGTATGGTTTATAAGTTTGGGAAGATTTGTGTGGAAGAAATCAAATTGTAGATGAAATTTAAAACTTTCTATATCGTATTTCAGACTTGAATCGTCTGACCAAAGATAGAACGCTGATTTACAGGTGTTTTCGATTTTGGTACTGTTTTTTGAAATAAAAATATTTGGCGTTGGAATTTGTTTTGCTGTGAACTATCTTAAATGTAATAAGATGTATTATAGTAACTTGTGGCTACTACTAGTCGTTTCCCAAACCAATAACTTGATAGATTTCATGTTCTGCTTTTTCGACCTGCAGATATCTTCCAAGCTACGTCGTCCATTTCTCGTCTAGCCTCAACATTACCTTGTTTGTCATACGTCCAAAGAGCGCAATGTTTTGAAGATATCACTGATCAAATTCTAGAAGCCTATGAATTCCCTCTATTTTCTCAGAAGTCTAGTTTCACAGAAATAAATTAGGATAGAAAGAACCAATGAGCAGTAAAGTTGTCCTGTGTTTGCCAGACAAAAAATATAACCTACTTCATAAATAAGGTAAACCTCGGTAATATACACAGTAACATTCTCATATACATTTAATTCCAAGATATCAAAGTCAGGGTAGTTCACTTACCAAATCCACCCATCCATTTTCATATCCAATTTTAAAGAACTGAAAATAATGATGAAAAGTTTATGAAACTACCATAGGCATAGAAAATAATCAAAAAATCAATGTTTTTCGGAATATCTACGATATAAACACTGTCAATTAGATGTGTCAATTAGAGGAGATAAAACCCGAATCATTTCAAATGATCTGTTGGATATAGTGTACGATTTCGTCTACTTCAAATAGCAAGTAGTTAAGGGCACCGAAACCCACAACTCTAATTGTGTGTTCAGCATTTTCTATACAAATGTCAAGACAGTTCTACTGTATGGAGTGGAAACTTGGAGAACTACGAAAGCTATCATCCAGAAGATACAAGTATTTATTAACAGTTGTCTACGCAAAATACGTCGGATTCGTTGGCCAGACACCATCAGCAACAATCTACAATGTGAAAGAACAAACCAGGTTCCAGTGGAGGAGGAAATCAGGAAGAAGCGTTGGAAGTGGATAGGATATGCATGCAGGAAAGCACCCAACTGCGTCACAAGACAAGCCCTCACATGGAACCCTCAAGGTGAAAGGAAAAGAGGAAGGCCAATGAACACATTACTCTGAAAAATAGAGAAAAATATGAGGAGAATGAACAAAAACTGGAAAGAACTAGAAAGGGAAGCCCAGGAGAGAGTTGGTTGAAGAATACTAGTCGGCAGTCTATGGTCGATTAGCGGTAACAGGTGTAAGTAATTCATTTTTCACTTCCTTCCATTTATACTTTTTACTACCTAAATGTTTGTGTACATCTTATTACGTAATTGAACTAACTCCGTCTGGAGCCCTTATGGTGTTTACTGCCAGTCCCAAGCCAGAATAAAGGAGGCATAGAGTTAGTGACCTCATTTTGTAGAATTTCAACTCGCTAAAGAAAACGCTAACTAGGAAAAATAATTCGCTGGTCGGTGGCCAATACTGGAGATGGAAATTTCTGAATGTTAATCTCAAAGTAATTTGATTAAGCTTACTACCTGGTGGATAAAATGAAAATGTTATATGGTAGTGAACGAGAAGGCAGGTGAGGGCAAGGATTGTATTTAACGAAACTTACAGAGTTATTCAGTAAAATACGAAAACCATATCGTAAACCGTTAATTTCCAAAATATCAATCCATCATATCGAACTGGACTGTTCCTGTTACAAAACATCAATCCATTGTCACTATTCATGCGTTTCATACAAATTCCATTGTTTTCTAACTCTTCCTTTCTTGATCTTCCCCCATCTTCTGCTGCCAGACATTACGTTGACACTCACGTCATATACTACTTATGAGTAGCTCACACCACAAATGATCAGCAGAGATACATTTTATGCCTCTAAAGTTAAATACTACTGGATCGTTTATCACACACAATACAGTGCATCTGTATAGGTTACGGTTATTTGATGAAGTCTTCATGATTCCATTGTGCAAAACATTTTTAACAGAAAGGAACACTTAGATAGACAGACACACATAATGTTTCATCAACTTACTACCCAACTTTGATTCAACAGTCGACTGAATACACATATCCAACCACGATTTTGAATACGATTTGTCCATGCATGGATAAATATGTCATCATTCATCCAGCGTGTCATTACTAGTAAACCGTCACTAGAAAAAAACAAAATAGTAGTAATAATAATATGTGGTAAATTTTAGACTATTAATTTATTTCCCAATGACTCAGCATACTATGTGCAATTACTCTGTTTGCATTACGGGGTTGTTGTGAAGATTGTTAAGTTACATATTTTTTGAAACCATGAATCGATCAATATTAGATCAGAACCATTAGAAACCTGGAAGAAGCATTGGACTGTGTATGAGGTTGCGCGACTACATGAATTTGATCAACTTAGACATTAACGCCGTTAGATACCGGCTCAGTGGTCTAACGGTTAGGGCGTTCGCGCACAATACCGAAGGTGCTGGGTTCGAATCCTGCCAGGTGCAGCAGTCGTGGATGCGCACTGCTGAAGATTCCCATTCCAGGAGGAAACGGCCGTCTCTCAGTGCTTCTTCAACCTGTCCTGTTCGTGTTTAAACAGTAACTACGGAAGACTGTGTATGAGGTTGCGCAACTCCGTGAATTGATCTGGTTAGACATTAACATCGTTAAATACTGGCTCAGTGGTCTAAAGGTTAGTCGTTCACGCACAATACCGAAGGTCCTGGGTTCGAATCCTGTGGGGTGCAGGAGTCGTTGATGCGCACTGCCGAGGAATTACTATGTTGTTTATTGAAAATACAATGAATCTATTCAATGTAACATGATTAGTTTTCGCATGAAATTGGACCGACTACAAAACTCCATAAGGCTATACAATTTAACTTAACATGTTATTGTGAAATTAAACGAACATCTGAAGAAATAGTCGTCATAATTCTGTGATATGTAAACAAGAATGTAGTAAAAGGAAGAAAATCACCTGATATCATGTTTTTTCGGTTATTTATCTAAATGTGACAGAACAATAACTAAGAACCTAGACATATATATGGTTTAATTTATTAAAGTCAGATTAGCAGATACAGATATAGCAAACGTGTCAGTGTCATTCGGAAAAATCATATTTTTTGCTGGTGAATTTTCTGTTACGCCTGCCTGCATGTAACAATGTCATTTTGATATACTTGAACTATGACAAGTTTACCTTAGTCATAAAACGAGCGAGAGCGAGGATCGAGGATCTGGTGACACGACATACTACTCTAATCCGAGTGTCTCAACCACCATATTGAGTAAAAATAAGAAGACTTGATATGAAGTAGAACCTGTATTCTACGAACATCCAGAAAGTACGGGGTCCGAGTCCAGATCCGGGTCCTGGTCATAAAACGCTACAGATAATGCGTATTTATACATTTTGGTCTAATAGGAAACAGCATCGAATTCTGTGACATTGACAGTTAAAACGACCAATAGGAAGTAACATTTAAAGTGACATTGATGGTCAGGACAACCAATAAGAAACAACATTGGAGCACGTGACGTTGATATCTAGGACGACCATAAAATTGACCAAAGAAATGGACCAATAGGAATTGACCAACAGTTCTCGTAGGATATTGGATGAATATCTTAACATTGTCTATCATATATGTAGTTGCATAAAGCAATGAGTTTTTTTTCAATTTATTCGTTTGTAGGCATAATGAATTAATGTTGAGAGTCTCGATGTAACTATTATGTTCGTCACTAGGTATGCTTGAAGCTATTACGAGTTCCCCTTAGTCGATAAACACGAACGAGACTTTTACCCAGCGTCCAGGTAGGCTTCCTTGAATCCCAGCGGAAGTAAAAAAGGCTTTGTAAGCGTAGAAGGTGTATTCTACAAACACCCAGCAATCACACAATACAATCAAGCATACAACTCTCGTTTATTTTATACATCATAGAAACGTCCTAGTGGGACAGTTAAGAAAATAGCACACCAAAATACACAGC